ACTAGAAGACGGGAGGCCATGCCTCTGAGCCGAAGCAGAGAGGGGTGACCAAGACGGTGGTGCCAGAGAAGAGTCTCGTGAGACAGGAGACGACAAGAACAGGGGGCAGACTCAGGACCAGACCTGGACGCAGCAGCAAACACCTGACCCGACGAAGCGACTCTACCAGACTCAGTAACGGGAGGAGACGCAGTGGTCAGTGTGTACAGGCTCGACCCCGGCTGACGGGTAAACGTAGCCAGGTGTCGGCCTGTGCGAGCCTCTGTACAGTGCGTCACCCGCTGACGCGCAGGAGTGAACTGGTGTACACCCGCATCCTGGAGGTCAGCACCACTCACCAGGTTCGTAGAGAACGAGGGGAGGTAGAGACCAGACAGGGTGCCAGAGGGAGCCGCCGGACACGGGAGGACTGTGGAGAAGCGAGACAGGACAGGACCCCCAGAGGGGTCAGCCAGAGACACTGCAACCGGTCGACTCAGCGGTGTGAGTGTGGTGCGGTCCCTAAAGAAGGAGCGAGACGCCCCAGAGTCAAGGGTGAAGGTGAGGGAGGCCGAAGCCGACGTAGTACCTGAGAGCGCAGACTCACCAGTACCTGAGGACGCAGACACACGAGCACCTAGGGCAGCAGCGTCGCAAGCACCTAGGGCAGCAGCCTCACCAGGACCTAGAGCAGCAGTCTCAATACCCGGATCGGGCGGGAAACACCGGTAACAGTCACCCTCATCACTAATAGACACAGCATACATGGCAGAGAGAATAGCATCAAAGTCAAGATCATAGATGGCAACACCCGCCCTGGACAGGTCACCCCAACGAGGGATCTCTGAGGCCTCCGGGAACTGGTGACGCCACGCGTCCGTCAGGCGGCCAAAGCAGCGCTGAGTGGGGTGGGGACCCCCACACTGCTCACCCGCACGGTCGGCGGTGCGCAAAACGTAGGAGCACGGACCAAAACCCCCACCTCGCTGACGCGCAGTGTACCACTCACGAAGCTGCTGAGGGGACAAGGTGTCACGACCACGCTGCTGCTGCTGGCGCGAGCCACCACCGGAGCCACTCCTCTGCGAAGACCCGCGACCAGCACCACCTCCACCCCCGCCGCCTCCTCCGCCTCCGCCGCCTCCGCTACTGCCGCCGCCTCCACCTCCGCCTCCGCCGCCGCCACCTCCGCCACCCCCGCTCCCACTGCCACCGCCGCCGTCACCTCCGCCTCCACTGCCGCCACCGACTCCTCCACCCCCACCTCCACTCCCACCGCCACCCCCACTCCCCCCACTGCCGCCACCTCCACCTCCACCGCCCCCGCTCGCTCCTCCAGCGCCCTTGCCCCCCTTGCCCTTGCCAGAGCGGCGTCTCCCACTAGGGGCAGACGCCACACCGACCGACTCAAGACCAAGGAGGTCGGCCGCAGCAGCAGAGGCAACAGAGGGCAGAAGGGGGGAGGGGGAACACCCCTCAAAGATGGGGGTGCGCGGGTCACCACGAGAGGCCCCTACAGCGACTATGCTCTTCTCGGCCGCTAGGAGGGACTTCTCGAGGAGGTCAACAGTGAGAGTGGTGGGACAGACAGAGAGAAAGTGGTCCCTGACTACGCGAAGGGAGTCAGGAAGGCGAGTGACTATGTAGTAAAGAGTGATGTACATGGGGGGGGGGTTCTTGGCGCAGAAGTCAGCAGGGAGTGCAGCGCGGTAGCGAGTGTCACTAGTGCGGAGGTGCGTAATGAGGTCAGCGACTGTGGGAAAGGCAGCAAGGTCAGGAAAGAGGTACGGTAGCATGAGACGGCTCAGTGCAGCAGTGGCAGGGGAGGAGTAGCGCGCAACTACAGCGTCGTACAAGGTCTGAGCACTCTTGTACTGACTAAAGTGTGCACGCTCGGAGGTAGGGAGGTGGCGACGCACTGCAAGACGTGCAGCAGCGTCGCGCGTGGCCCACTGGGAGCGAACAGTGGCGTCGGCGTCAGCAGCAGGGGCAGTGGAGGCGCCAGAGGTGAGGTCAAAGAGAGAGAGACCATCTGCCCTATCGCACTGTAAGAACAGCTGCAGGTCATCCACCCAGACCTCAAAGTCAATGGCCCGACCCTCAGCGTCAAAGACTAGAACACTAGGGGTAGCCATGACCCTAGACGACTGGCAGCGCAAACAGTAGGGTGAGGGCAGTGCAGTGAAAGGGCGCTGTGCTCACCAGACTGGACAGGTCGGGCGGCCCGGAAGGAGGGCGGCGCGGCGGCTCGGCGGCTCGGCTGCCGGGCGGCTCGGCGGCTCGGCGGCTCCGCTGCTGGGCGGCACGGCTGCTGGGCGGCTCGGCTGCTGGGCGGCTCGGCTGTTGAGCGGCTCGGCTGCTGGGCGGCTCGGCTGCTCTGCTGTCGGGCGGCTCGGTTGTGTTGCTGAGGGGCAGCACGGCTCGGGCTGCTCGGGCGGTGCGGGCGGCTCGGGCGGCTCGGGCGGCTCAGCTCCTCAGCGGCACAGGCGGCGTGGGGACCGAGACGGCGGCGCGCGGCTGGGACGGGCGGCGCACGGGCGGCGTGGGGCCGGGACTGCGGTGCGCGGCCGGGACGGGCGGCTCACGGGCGGCGTGGGGCCGGGACGGGCGGCGCGCGGGCGTCGAGGGGCCGGGACAGGCGGCGCGCGGGCGTCGAGGGGCCGGGACGGGCGGCGCGCGGGCGTCTAGGGGTCGGGCCGGGTGGCGCGCGGGCGTCTAGGGGCCGGGACGGGCGGCGCGTGGGCGTCGAGGGGCCGGGACGGGCGGCGCGCGGGCGTCTAGGGGCCGGGACGGGCGGCTCGCGGGCGTCTAGGGGCCGGGACGGGCGGCTCACGGGCGGCGAGGGGCCGGGACGGGCGGCGCGCGGGCGTCGAGGGGCCGGGACGGGCGGCGCGCGGGCGTCGAGGGGCCGGGACGGGCGGCGCGCGGGCGTCTAGGGGCCGGGACGGGCGGCGCGCGGGCGTCTAGGGGCCGGGACGGGCGGCGCTCGGGCGTCTAGGGGCCGGGCCGGGTGGCGCACGGGCGTCTAGGGGCCGGGACGGGCGGCGCGCGGGCGTCTAAGGGGCCGGGACGGGCGGCGCGCGGGCGTCTAAGGGCCGTGACGGGCGGCTAAAGGGGGCCACTAGGGGCCAAGAGAGAGGGGAGCGCGACTCGGGTAGGGGCAGAGTGCGCTCCGGGCAGGAAAAAAAACGGTGGGCCCTAGGAACAGTTCCCACGAGGGAACCTGCTCGATACCATGAGAAGAATGAAGAACGAGGATGAATGAACTATGAATGAGGTGAGTACATATAGAAAACCCTAATTGGGTTGTACCCCCTATGGGATACCCCACTATAGCCTACACAACAGCATAAGCTATATATGTTCTGACACGCAGTACAAAACAAATGTGTTCAAGGATACCCATTAATACAACTCTCAGCTGAATAGTGCCATTTGTGATTTCTTTTTAAATCCCGTCGTTAAAACCAATGCCCATACTCTGTATGTAGGTGATGCTGCCCGGTTTTTAGATCAATCGCAAGTGATTAACATAGGTAAACAAGCGTATATGGATACGACGTACGCATATGGTGACTCGATAAAGTTTGCAAAGTCAGGAGCTATGGTTGTCTTATTGGCCATAATAAATGCATATGAAGTTGTAAATATACTCAAAAGAAACGTGCTTATGGTCCCTATTCAGTGTCTCGTTCGTCGTTTGGTAGAGTCTCGTGTTGTAGTAAGCATATCAAGTTGCTTGATAAAATGACGATATTAAATTCAGGTAAGTACTACCGTATGCTTTATTACGGGTATACATTAAGAAGATTGAGGACCCACTACTAAAATCAATACCCTCATTTCCTATTACGATATTCATATTCATAGGCGAATCAACCATTTATCCAATCTGAGACTTGTATTTTTATCGCCCATGTGCAAAATCGCGTTTCTGTAAAGTGTGTCTGAAACCACTGACGGAAACAGTCACACGGAAGACCTGACGGAGTGCTACTCCGTTTCCGTCTGGCGAGCTGGCCTGTGTTCCGAAATCTAGGGCGCGACAAACTAGCCTAGCAGATTTCGGAACAGAGTGGCAGCCGAGCCACCCAGAGTGGGGACTCGATTTGGCAGACGGGACAAAAGTCAGTTGCGCACAGTTGACAAGTTGCCCAGTACAGTAGTTGGTGTACGAAACTTGTGCCACGTGGGTGAATGTGGGGAAGAGTTCTGTGTTGTTTCTATAATTCCCCTGTCTGAGGCACGGAGGGGCGGAAAGTGCCCGCTGCTGGCACTGTAGCTCCCTAGAAAGCGCGGGGTCCCTAGTAGTACCCCCGCGAAAGCTACTTACCCTTCATGTGATGAGTGGAAAATTCATGTGATGTGCCCAAAGCTATGAGCAAGCTTGTGTGTCTAGCCAATGAAGGGGTTCACAACGCCATCTTCAAAGAACGGTCGAACCCCTTCACATCGGGCTGGGCTGGGTGATAGGAACTGTGCGTAGCAAAGACGAGGGCTTGGGTGTTAGGAACTGTGCGTTGCGTAGATGGCGGCTTCCATTACACGGTCTTTAGAGCGCGAATCCTAGTGGAATATTTTATACATTGTACTTCCGTGTTTCAAACTGGTTCGGTGGCTGCATGACTTAGTACCGAGCGACGAAAAGGTTATTAGGTCATTCCTACGTTTGATATGAATGAGATGCTCGAAGGCTACATGTCGGATTCGAGATTTGCGGCGTTCTAGAGCGGTTTGATAGCCATCCAGAATTGTAGCGTTCTAAGAAACGGATATTGCCACACTCAGTAGCACGCACTCTTTTGGCTTAATCCTCTCGGTCTCCTAGATGACTCCTTAGTAAGGGTACTGGACGTGGAGAGGCGAGACCTCCAGACCTTCCCTAATAGTAGTATATTTTTTAAGACTGCGAGGAACCCTTCTTAGGCGATGGCGATTCGGAAGGGGGTGCGGCGAATGGCGGTGGCGGTGGCGGTGTGGATGGGGCTTGCGGGCGTGCTGGCGGGGCTGGTGGCGTGGAGGGTGCAGAAGGGATTCGACGACAATCGCAATGCGGAGCTCGACACCTGGTGCGCCGGTCGCGCGCGCTCGCTGCAGCAGCAGTTCATGCTCACCGCCGACCACGTGCAGGTAGTAGACGGCCGACACGTGCAGGTACACGGCCGACCACGTGCAGGTACACGGCCGACCAAGTGCAGCTACTATTACGCATGAAGAGAGGTGTTTCGTTCGTCCGTTTGCTGTCGAGCCGCCGGCGCGGCGATTCTTGTGGCGTCGGCGCGGACTATCGGGGAACGGTTAAACCGTCCGCGGGTCGTTCGCGCTCATTTAGGCTCGCGTTTTACCACGCGTTTATTTTAGGTCATTATCGACCAAGATTCATCGAGCTCACTGTTCAGGAGCTGCATTTTACATTCTCCGCATGTCCTTACGAGTCTAGGTTGCGGTGCGGCGCGACTATCCAGGTTGATCGCACGCGCGCGCGGCACGAGCGATTTTCGTGACGAGTGAGTCAACGAGTCTTTACGCTCATGAATCGACCATGGTACCCACACGCAACGGCGGAAAACCGGTTGCGTGGCGAAATTAGGTTGGCGGTTGTAACCAGCGAGGGTCGAAACACGATCTTGAGGTGATCTCGTGCGGACGAAGGTAATGCAGAATCGAGGGTCGCGGCAAGTTGGGATTCAGCACGGTTGCTGTCAGCAAAGGGGAGACGGGTAGAGGAGGGAATAAGGGTGTAATGTTGGAACCTGCAGGCCACCGCAGTGGCGCGCACTTAAACCGCCAGCCGCGTGCGTGCTGTGTAAACCGCGTGCTGTGTAAACCGCGTGCTGTGTAAAACGCGTGCTGTGTAAAACGCGTGCTGTGTAAATCGCGTGCTGAGTAGGCCGCGTGTCGTTTGAGTCGCGGTCCATCATGGTCAGCGTGTGGAGAGGAGTCGTCACGCCATGAAAGGACGCGCCCTGCCCACTCGTTGCCCCCATGCGCCCCTCCACATCCATCAGGTGCTGGCGGGGTTGGCGACGGTGTTTGGCGGCGTGAGGACGAACCCCTGGGCGGTGGGCAGCTGCCTCACGCAGCGGCGCTTCGTGCACCTGGTGGAGCGCACCGTGGCGGCACAGCCATGGGTGCACGCCGTGGGGTACATGGCCGTCATCAACGGATCCGACAGGTCAGCTCGTATTCCCCCCCTCCCCCTTCCTCCCCCGCTTCCCCTACCTCTCTTTCCTCACCCTACCCGTTCCCGCTTTCTCCCCTTCCGCGTCCCACTTGTTCCCCTCCCTCGGCCCCCTTTTCTCCCCTCCCTCCCCCCCTCCGTTCTTGCATCCGTCGCTCCCCTCCATTCCTCGTCGTCACTCCACTTCTCCATCCCGTCTCCCCCACCATCCATTCCTCTCTGCCTCGCATCGCATTCAAGACAAACCCACGGTCATGCAAAGAGAGTTCCTTGTTTCCCGTGAAGTCCTGAATAAATTCTGTGAGGAGATGTGCTGTGAGGAGATGAAGTGACCCTTCGCAATGAGAGGAAGGCCTCTCTTGTTGTCAAAGGTTGTATGAAATGTTTCAATAGTAATTTCCCCCTCTCTCCCCCCTTCACTCGCTGCAGGGCGGCCTTTGAGCAGCGGGCGCAGTGCAAGCTGTTGGACATCTTGGGCAAGCCGGCCCCGGAGGCGGATTGGTACATGAACTCGCGCGTGTGGTTCCAGGAGAACCCGCCCATACCGCTGCTCGAGATGACCTCCACGTGTGTGAACGTGCGCACACACCCCTCGTACGGACCCGGGCTCTCCCACATCCACCAGCTGCCCGCCAACCAGCTCAACATGCCCTACGTGCTTGATAACGGCGAGGCTGGCATGGGTGAGTGTGGCCGACACACACGCACACCCACCCGCACTCCCACCCCAACACCCACCCGCACACCCACCCACATTCGCCCCTGCACATCGCCGGTCTTCGAGTGGTGGTTGAAATCGCGGATCGGTGGGCGAAATGGTGGGTTGGTCTTCCCGGGGTTGATTGGATATTTCTGGACTGGGTCAATCCGACCCGCCCTCGGGGCACAGCCGACTTGACCCCTATAAGCCCGTGCCCGGCTCGGTCGAGCAAAGTCGGGTCGGGTTGGCGTGTCTACCCCCGCACGCACACGGCACGCATGCACGGAAGCCCCAAGTCACACACAAGTGTAGTGAGAACAATCTATGATCCAGCTGACTTAAAGGTTGCCACACGCGACTTGGCTCCGTGCTTATTGGACAGGGCTCGGGCCGGTTCGGGCTCGGGCCTGTTCGGGCTGGGGCCGGTTCGGGCTCGGGCCGGCCCGCGTCGGGGCCGGCTTTCCAAAATAGCTGGCCCTTACCACCCTTAAATCGGGCCAGGTCGGCCCTCGGCCCGACCTTTGCTCATGCCTATCCCAGTCCCTATGTGCTTCCCTGCTCTCCATCCCATTCTCTTACTTCCCTCTCTATCACTCCCTCACTCACACTCTACGTCCGTGTTCAGCTCCCCCCTTACCCCCTCCCCTTCTTTTCTCCCTCAAATGTGCGGGCAGGCATGGGATTCCCAATCTTCAGGGACGGCGTGACCACAGCCTCGCCGCTGGAGGAGAGGCGGGCGGCGCTGGTGGGGCTGATAGCGGCGTCCATCGACTTCAAGAGCCTCGCCGCCTTCATCATCAATGAAGTGCTCCGCCAAGGTAACGTGCTGCTTAAGAGAATAGAATATTTTAACTAGAATGGAAGGAGCAGTGCTGCTCCCCTCACGCGCTTGCTGCAGAGTGCTGTCCACATAAACAAGTATACCACCATGCTCAAACCTAAACAGAGTGTTCCCCTCGTGCTGCTGCAGGCGTGGAATATTCTCTGGAGGTGTATGACGTCACTGCCACGGATATCCTCCCCAACTCCTCCACCCCGCTGGGCCCGCGCCTGCTGTACGGGGTGGGGGACTTGCCTGAAGGCAATCCAATGCAAGTGGCCAAGCTCATTCCGCCCTCCAACGAGACAATGCTGCAGCCACACCGACACAAGTCCGTGCAGCAGATCAATCTCACCGACACATCAAGATCGTACCAGCTCTGGTGCCGGTGAGTTGCCTCCGAGTCGTGTATTGATCCGCTTGTCCTTTCCATACTTTGTGTCGCTCTTCTCTCTCCATCTAAGTTGGACTTAACACTCAGGGCCCTTAGCGTCAAGCGTAAAAACTCTTACGGAGCATTACAACAATATTCTCCACCCTCTACGGATCCTCTACCTTCACGTCTAAGTTTTACACTTGTGATCCCCCATCCCTCACCCATGCACTCCTCCGCTCGCAGCTTCAGTGGCGCCGATGCGGTCGTCAGCTGGACGTCTGTTCTGCTGGGGGTGGTCATTGTGGTGGTGGCGGCGCTGTTGGCGGCTATCGGGGTGAGCGTGGCGTGCAACACGCGGGGCGTGCGCGAGAAGGTGACGGCGCTGGCGGTGCTCAAGGAGAGAACGCAGGTGGCGGAGCGCAACAAGAGTGCCTTCATCGCCAACACTGCGCATGAGCTGCGCACCCCCATCATCGGCCTGAAAGGTGCGCGGCCGTGAATGGGCGGAGTGATGCGAGTTGTTTCTGAAAGTGCAGAGGGCGAAGTATGTGTTGCTGATGTCAGCACTGGGCACAACCCTTCCAGAGCCATTTCCAACCATGCAAGGTCTAGCAGTTGCTGTGCAAGGAGTCAATGTCTAAAGGCGAAATTTTAGTCAGATTCAATACTTCACGGGCAATATTCAGAGCATTCACAGTGTTGATAAGCAGGACGCATTGTGAGTGAGCACATTCCTTAGTTGGTACTTTACGTTTTTTAGGGTCACGTAAACGTAAACTTACGCTTGAGTTTACCTTTACGTTTTCTTACGCGTAATTTTACGTAAATTCGCACGGGCAGGGCAAAAAAAGTTTTTCTGGCTGCGAAATGGAAAAATCTGACTGATATGAGGTGGGAGACGCTGTGACATGTCCGTGTAGATTTGGGGCATCTGTAAGTTGATGTAATAATGTGCTAACATGCTTGGGCATAGAAGAACCAAGCTATTGATTGATTAGGCGCTTCCCATGCAGCCACTTAGTGCGATGAATTCTTATCTTTCCGGGCAGCCAGAAATGTTTCTGGCTGACCGTAAACGTAAAGCCGTTTTGGGTCCACGTAAGTAAACGTAAGTTTACTACGTAAAGTCACGTACACGTAAACCACCGTAAACGTAAAATGCCAAATGTGCCACATTCAGTACATGCCCCTTCCATGATTGCACTTTCTTATGTGTTGCTTGCGTGTGCAAATGTGCCCGTGTCTGTTCACTGCTGTAGTGGACCGCCAATGGCATCAGCAATAAGCGCACCAGTCAACTTAACCTCGTTGACCTGGCAGGCTCTGAGAGGTACAAAGAGTCTCACTATCGTGGCACAGTGGAAGGGATGGTTGGTGTGGTGCGGTGCGGTGTACACGTGCAAAGCAAAGACTCATAGTACGGTGTGGTGCGGTGCCTGTGACTCTTTTCATGGTAACCATGGAATGGATGACGCACTGTTGTGCCCTCCCCCCCCCCTCCCCCCTGCTGTCCGCACAGGCATGTTGGAGGAGCTGGCGGAGGGACACCTCTCTCACACAATTCTCCATTCCCCCCGCCCCTTCTCTCCCCACAGGCATGTTGGAGGAGCTGGCGGAGGGACACCTCTCTCACACAATTCTCCATTCCCCCCGCCCCTTCTCTCCCCACAGGCATGTTGGAGGAGCTGGCGGAGGGACACCTCTCTCACACAATTCTCCATTCCCCCCGCCCCTTCTCTCCCCACAGGCATGTTGGAGGAGCTGGCGGAGGGACACCTCTCTCACACAATTCTCCATTCCCCCCGCCCCTTCTCTCCCCACAGGCATGTTGGAGGAGCTGGCGGAGGGACACCTCTCTCACACAATTCTCCATTCCCCCCGCCCCTTCTCTCCCCACAGGCATGTTGGAGGAGCTGGCGGAGGGACACCTCTCTCACACAATTCTCCATTCCCCCCGCCCCTTCTCTCCCCACAGGCATGTTGGAGGAGCTGGCGGAGGGACACCTCTCTCACACAATTCTCCATTCCCCCCGCCCCTTCTCTCCCCACAGGCATGTTGGAGGAGCTGGCGGAGGGACACCTCTCTCACACAATTCTCCATTCCCCCCGCCCCTTCTCTCCCCACAGGCATGTTGGAGGAGCTGGCGGAGGGGGAGGTGGACGGGCGGCAGAGGGAGGACGTGGGGACGGCGGTGGGCGAGGTGGAGCGCATCGTGGCGCTCATCAACGTCGTGCTCGACGTCTCCAAGGCCGAGGCCGGCCGCCTGCACATGGAGCACCTGCCCTTCCACACCCGCTCCTGGCTCCGGGACGCGCTGCACTCCCATGCCTGCGCCGCCCACGCGCGCAACCTCAACTGTAATCTTCTTCCTCGCATCCGTTTTCGGTCCCTTCCAGCCATGCCCGTTCCTCTGGTGCTAGAAAGCAATCCAGCACGCATCTCACAAGCCAACGTTGGGTGTTTCTTCTTGTAACCCCTGTACTACTTGTTTGTGCGTGTGCCCGTGCCCAGTCGCGTGCCGTGTGGATACGAGTGTGCCCGAGGTGCTGCAGGGGGACTACATGCGCCTGCAGCAAGTGCTGGACAGCATCGTGGGTGAGTCAAGTGCTGGACAGCATCGTTGGTGAGTCAAGTGGTGGACAGCATCGTAGGTGAGTCAAGTGGTGGACAGCATCGTGGGTGAGTCAAGTGGTGGACAGCATCGTGGGTGAGTCAAGTGGTGGACAGCATCGTGGGTGAGTCAAGTGGTGGACAGCATCGTCGGTGAGTCAAGTGGTGGACAGCATCGTGGGTGAGTCAAGTGGTGGACAGCATCGTGGGTGAGTCAAGTGGTGGACAGCATCGTGGGTGAGTCAAGTGGTGGACAGCATCGTAGGTGAGTCAAGTGGTGGACAGCATCGTGGGTGAGTCAAGTGGTGGACAGCATCGTAGGTGAGTCAAGTGGTGGACAGCATCGTGGGTGAGTCAAGTGCTGGACAGCATCGTGGGTGAGTCAAGTGGTGGACAGCATCGTGGGTGAGTCAAGTGGTGGACAGCATCGTAGGTGAGTCAAGTGGTGGACAGCATCGTAGGTGAGTCAAGTGGTGGACAGCATCGTGGGTGAGTCAAGTGGTGGACAGCATCGTAGGTGAGTCAAGTGGTGGACAGCATCGTGGGTGAGTCAAGTGGTGGACAGTATCGTGGGTGAGTCAAGTGGTGGACAGCATCGTGGGTGAGTCAAGTGCTGGACAGCATCGTGGGTGAGTCAAGTGGTGGACAGCATCGTAGGTGAGTCAAGTGGTGGACAGCATCGTAGGTGAGTCAAGTGGTGGACAGCATCGTAGGTGAGTCAAGTGGTGGACAGCATCGTGGGTGAGTCAAGTGGTGGACAGCATCGTGGGTGAGTCAAGTGCTGGACAGCATCGTGGTGGACAGCATCGTGGGTGAGTCAAGTGGTGGACAGCATCGTAGGTGAGTCAAGTGGTGGACAGCATCGTGGGTGAGTCAAGTGGTGGACAGCATCGTTGGTGAGTGAGCCACCAGGGCTCAACGGGATGTCGTGTGCATTGCTGCTTGATGAACCTAAATTATGTGTTAGACTTCTTTTGTTCCCTTCCCATCACACAACTTTGGTCCTATTGTTGCGTTTTTTTGTTTTTGTTTTGCTGTTTTTTTTTTTTTTTTGCACAAATGCTACCTACTGCAGACAATGCCATCAAGTTCACGAGCAGCGGGGGCGTGTGTGTGCGGCTGCAGTGCCTTCCCCCCGACACCCACATCCCCACCCACCTGCTCTCCCTCGGCTGCCTCGTCGCTGAAGCCACCCCCGGCTGCTCCTCGCCTGCCGCTGCTGCTGCTGCCGATGCTGCCAGTGCGGGTCTGGCAGCAGAGCCGGTGTCGTGGAGGGAGCAGGTGGAGCAGCGCGGGCTGCTGTGGGCCGTGATGGGCAACTGGGACCCGCAGCCACTGCGCAACCAGCTGACGTCACTCAGCGCCCGCTTCTCCATGAGCCCCTGGCGCACCCCTCTGGCGGAGGGGGGGGAGCAGGGTGAGGAGGACGGGGAGGGGGAAGGGAATGGGGAGGGGGAGGGGGATTGGGAGGGGGAGGGGGAGGAGGAGGAGGAGGGGGAGGGAGTGGGCCAGAGGGGGGGGAGGGAAGAGGGGGAGGGGGAGAGGCAGGGGCAAGGGAAGGAAGGGTGGAGTGATGCAGAACACGAGCGCAGGAAAGGTGAGGGGGTTTCGGAACAATGGAGAGGTGACGGTGGGGGCGCAGCAGTGCGAGAAGAAGGCGATGGGGATAGGGCAGTAGGTGGGGGTGCTAGGGTGGGAGGAACATGTGGTGTGCAGCAAGGTGGGGAGGAGAGTGGTGGGGGGGAGAGGGAAGGAGAGGGTGGCAGTGGTTGGAGAGGAGGGGAGGGGGCGTCATTGATGCACAGCCAAGGGGAGGAGGGGGATGAGCGAGATAGAGTGGGTCCATGTGCTAGTGCGCGTGAGGGGGGTGCGCGTGAGGGGGGTGCGCGTGAGGGGGTTGCAGGGGTTGCGTGCGAGGGGGGGAGGAGTGAGAGGGAAGAATGTTGGGTAGATGGCACATGTGAAGCAGGCAGTGAAGCAGCAGCAACAGCAGAAGGTGGTGGTGGCAGGGGCACATGGAGGGATGCAGTGAGGAGGTGGTGGCAGGGGCCGGCTGAGGAGCAGAGCACGGTGCATCCGGGGGATGCTGGCAGGCGGTGTGTGGTGCTGCTGACATGTGAGGACACGGGGTGTGGCATCGCAGAGGAGGAGCAGCGCGACGTGTTTCAGGCGTTCATGCAGGTGAGCTCACAGCATGTGTGTTGGGGCACCAAGGAGGTGAGCCCTGCCCCTCATGCCAGCTGCCCTCTCATGCCATGCGCCTCATGCGTTGCACCTGTTTGCCGACACGCTAAAGCTGGCTGCCACAGCATGTGGTGTTCGTGAGTTGAAGCCACAACCAAATTTAGAAAGGGCCAACTCTAGCGCTCCAAGTGTTAGCTCATTGACCTGCATGAGTGCTCCAAGTGTTAGCTCATTGACCTGCATGAGTGCTCCAAGTGTTAGCTCATTGACCTGCATGAGTGCTCCAAGTGTTAGCTCATTGACCTGCATGAGTGCTCCAAGTGTTAGCTCATTGACCTGCATGAGTGCTCCAAGTGTTAGCTCATTGACCTGCATGAGTGCTCCAAGTGTTAGCTCATTGACCTGCATGAGTGCTCCAAGTGTTAGCTCATTGACCTGCATGAGTGCTCCACGTGTTAGCTCATTGACCTGCATGAGTGCTCCACGTAGGCATCATCCACTTTGAGTCGACTCAAAAGTGCTCCGCCTTCCAATCCAACACACCAACCCTCACCAGGCACACCAGAAGAGACACGCGCATGGCGGCAGCGGCATGAGCCTTCACTTGTCTCGCCAGCTGGTGAGTCTCGTTTCGCACCTGCTGAGTCTTTGTTGCACAGCTTCAACTGATGGAGTGCAGAGGACATGGACATGCAGAGATGTTAGATTTCAAGGCTGTAGAGCTGCAGAGAGAGTGGTTTGTGCGGTGAAGGTGGAGATACTCGTGAGGCTCCTTCTTTAACTTTCTTCTCCCTTGCCTGCTCTTGTCTGTCTGTCTGTCAGCATTCGGCTTGAAATATCCTCCCTCCCTTTTTCTTCTCTCCATCAAGTTTCTCATCTCAAGCGCCTCCCTTTCTACTTCGTCAACCCCCTCTCCTGCTGCTCCAACTTGTCGCAGGTGTCCCTTCTGGGCGGCAGCATGGGTCTGGTCAGCGCAGAGGGCATCGGCACCACTCTGCACGTCGCTCTGCCCTTTGATGCAGCACCACCTCCTCCTTCTCCACCTCCTGCATCTGCTGCTGCTGCTACCGCTGCTCATTCCTCTGCTGCCCAGTCCTCTGCTTATTCCGCTCTAGCTGTTGGTTGTGGTGCTGCCGAGGGGGGCGAGCCCAGCCCCATTGCCAGAGTGGGCAACAGAAGCTTGAGTGCGAGCGCGGGGGTGGAGGAACGTGGAGAGGCGGAGGGCACAAGCGTGGTGGAGGGGGCGGGTGAGAAGGTGGTGTGCGCCAAGGAGGCTCTCAAGGAGATGCTTCAGGGCATGGCGATCCTGGTGAGATGCGAGCAAGGGCAGTTTGGTGGGGTCATTTGGAGAGAGCATACAATGTGTCGGAGTTCCCTGGAACGAGGCTTGTCCCGCGCGTTGAAATGTCACAGGACAAAGGAAAAAAACTGGTCATCTTGGAATATAGTGGCAAGCATAACGTGTAATTCCGCTCGTACTGGATATTCCGTGCGACCCTCCGTCTTCTCACGCACCTCTTCCACTCAAGCTCTCCCTCCCAACCTCTCCCTCTCAAACTCTCCCCTGCTCTATCCACCAGGTGGTGGGCGACAATGTGACCAGCCGCATGCCATCTCCGTCCCGCCGTTCTCATCCCCTCCCCACCCCCCGTGTAACTCCCCGCACGCACAGGTGGTGGACGACAACGTGATCAACCGTCCCTCTATCTCACCCCTCTGCACCCCCCTGTACTCCCTGCACTCACCCAGGTGGCGGACGACAACGTGATCAACCGTCCCTCTGTCTCACCCCTCTGCACCCCCCTGTACTCCCTGCACTCACCCAGGTGGTGGACGACAACGTGATCAACCGTCCCTCTGTCTCACCCCTCTCCACCCCCCTGTACTCCCTGCACTCACCCAGGTGGTGGACGACAACGTGATCAACCGTCCCTCTGTCTCACCCCTCTGCACCCCCCTGTACTCCCTGCACTCACCCAGGTGGTGGACGACAACGTGATCAACCGTCCCTCTGTCTCACCCCTCTGCACCCCCCTGTACTCCCTGCACTCACCCAGGTGGTGGACGACAACGTGATCAACCGGCGGGTGGCAGCGAGCACGCTGGCGCGGTACGGGGCGGAGGTGGCGCTGGCAGAGTCGGGCGAGGCGGCGCTGCGCCTGCTGCAGGCGCGCCACTCCTTCCGCCTCGTGCTCATGGATCTCCACATGCCCGGCCTTGATGGCTTTCAGACTACTACCCGCGTGCGCGCCTTCGAGGCCGCCGCTCAGATGGCCCGGGAAGAACAGGGACAACAGGGGTTGCAGCGCATGCCAGTGGTGGTGGAGAGTGTGGCAGAGGGGGGGGACGAGGAGGGGGGCTGGCAGTGGCAGCAGCGGGTTCATGTGGTGGCCATGTCAGCAGATGTGGACAGCAGTGTTGCCGCCCGTGCCACAGAGGCTGGCATGGATGGTGCCGTGCAGAAGCCACTCAATGAGAGAGTGCTGCTGCAGGTGCTCTCAACATTGTTTGTGAAGAGACGGAGGTACAGAACCCACTCGATGTACTAACATTGTTAATCCATGAATTGAAGCAGAAGCGCCTGACCAGAATATGCACCCCTAATTGTAACGCATCTCTGTGCATTACTAATCTTATTACCTGTAGGCTAAATGACGCTGTCTATAAAAATCATAATGTTTTTCAAGTACCATACCGGTACTAATCCTGTCGGCCTTTTTTCGGTAATCATACCACTACAATATGGTATCTAATTTGTCAGGGTTCCTTTTATGAAGCACATTGATGCTGTAATTTTCCAAGAGCTGAATGTACACTTGATGCACATGCATGCTTTTCCTCATTGCCTTATGGAACATGTTACAATCCTAAAAAGGGCTTAGCCAGGGATAGGCTCTGGGTTGTTTGTAGATGGTGTTGCAGCGGATGTGGTGACGCCAGTTTAGAGTGAATGTAAATGACTGGGATAAATAGCACATGTTTATGCCTGGATCGGTCTTGATTTGATGGTTGCGGGTGTCGCTTCGACTCTTCTGACTCCTCGACTTCGTACTCGGTAGAGTTGGCTCCTGCAGCGTAAAGTAATGTCATCTGATTTAATTTCATATCTCAACACCCCCATTCATTCCTGGGTGTGTCGGGAGTTGACTCGCTTGACTACTCCGGTGAGGTTGGAGCAGTGCTGGTACTGCTGACGTGGCAGTCGCATACAGAAGACGAGCGAGTGGAACTAAGTACAGAAGACGAGCGAGTGGACCTCCACGAGACAGAACCAGTGCCGAGGCTGAAACTGTAACCCTGTGTTGATCGGTGAGACGTCTGGTCGTCAGCCCAAGAAGCGTCCGAGTGACCGGTGAGAACAACTGGACCCCGTCCTCCAAGCACAAGCCCCATGCCTGACGTACTGCACAAGTAACGCAGTACCCGCTGTGCAGCTGTCCAGTGCTCCTTCCGGTGTCTACCGGGCGCAACGTAGCGAGCAAGGAGGTTGAGAGCGTACGCGAGGTCAGGTCGTGTGCACGTCATCAAGTACATGAGGCAACCCACAAGCTCTGGATACAGACCACTAGGCTCTACGGACTCATCCGAAGGTGGAGCTGAGAGCGAGTGGCCTGTAGGCAGATGAATGGGCTGTGGCGAGGAGATCTGGAAGCCGGAAGCGCTGAAGGACCTGCTGCACCATGTGTGACTGAGTCAGGGTGATGGTGCGCCGTCCTCTGTCCCGGGTGATCTACAAGACAAGATAGCTCCGCAGCTAACTCAGTTCAGTGCAGTGTGTCTCTCCTGCAGCTCCGCCTTCACTAGGGCCAGAGCCCCAGTGTCAGCAGTAGCAAACACCAAGTCGTCGACGTACACGAGGACGTAGAACGGCGACAGAGAAGTGTCTGTGCGCAGAAACAGCGAAGGGTCAGCAGTCGAGGGAGCGAAACCAAGAGCCGCAAGCGTAGTCCTCAGTGTGTCATGCCACTCACGGGGTGCCTGACGCAGACCGTACACTGGCCGCCGGAGGCTCCACAGGGTACCCTCAGAAAACGACCCAGTGAAGCCACGAGGGCGGCGCAGCCAGATCTCTTCGTGAAGGCTGCCCTGCAAGAAGGCTGTCGAGAAGTCGAGGGAGTGCAGCTCGTAGTCACGCTGTGCTGCAACGTGCAGTAACACCCGAAGAGTGGTCATCTTCGGGGTGGGTGAGAAGGTCTGGAAGAAGTCGACCCCCTCACGCTGACTGAAGCCTCGTGCAACGTAACGCGCCTTGAAGGCATGCGGAGAACCGAGCGGCCGCTTCACTCTAAAAATCTACATGCCATTGACTATGTTCGCCCCAGGTGGGGGAAATGCGTCGACGTAGGTGCCTGTGGACTTTCAGGAAGCCATCTCTGCGTCCATGGCTATCTGCCACTGAGAGGAGTATGGACCCGTGATCGCCTCTGCGTAAGAGCGCGGGGTTGGGATGTCCAGTGCATCCGGGTCTCCCTCAGGGCAAAGTAGCATGGTAGCGAGATGAGGTGCAGCAACCGCTAGGCACTCCAGCTCAAACTGCCTGTCCTCAAGGACGTCACAGCCAAGGGCAAGCTCACCCTTGACGGACGGAAGACAGTCAGAGTAAAAAAACAAGACTCGCAGCGTAGTCAAGGCGGCACAGAGCAGCAAAGTCAACGAGCTCAGCGACTAAGGTAGACGCAGGAGGCGACGAAAGCGTAGGGTCAGTCACAGCCGTGGCAAGAAGACGAGTGGCAGTCGGACTAGCAGCACGAAAAAGGCCAGACTCAGGGTCAAGGACGTGAGGAAGAGAAGACGCAGGAGGCGACAGCAGGACAATACGCTGTGGAATAGAGGAAGGACGAAGTGCCATAATGTGGGTGCCTAGGACAGGTGGAGGACGAGGACGTGCAGTACGACGGGTACGGACAGGCGTGACAGGACGCGACGCAGGCTCTCTACTCTCAGTGAGGGACTCTGTCATCGCAGTGTAAGGAGCAGGAGCAGGCAGTGGGGAGTGAGGCAGTAACTTTGGCTGAGACTGGTCAGGCTGTGGGAACAGTAACGGGGGAGTAGTGCCAGCAACAGGAAACTCAATAACAGCAGGTGGGAGACTGAGAAGGTGACGGAGCGCAGACGGCTGCTGCCGAGTAGTCGCACCCCCAGAACCTCCAGCTCCTGTAGTAACAGCACCCCCAGTATCAGCACCTCCAGCTCCACCACCGGGGCTGCCCCACCGGACAGCCCACTCGCGAAGCTGCTGCGGCGAGAGCGACTCCTGCCTACGAGTACCAGGACCTCTAGCACCAACTCCAGTACCTCCAGTAGCACCTCCAGTGTCAGCACCTCCAGCACCTCCAACTCCAGTACCTCCAACTCCAGTACCAGTGCCTCCAGCACCTCCATCTCCAGTTCCTCCAATAGTACCTCCAGCACCAGCACCTCCAGCTCCGCCACCGAGGCTGCCCCACCGGACAGCCCACGCACGAAGCTGCTGCGGCGAGAGAGTCTCCTGTCGACTCAGCTGCCGAGGACGTCCACTCCCAGAGGCTCCAGCAGGAGTACCCACAACCCGACCACCAGGAGGACCCGCAGCACCCCCAGAACCAGCACCCCCAGAATCAGCACCCCCAGTGTCACCACCTCCTACTAACACCAGAGTCCACAGCGACTGGTTGCAGAGGCGGTGAAGACGGTCGAGGCAGAAACCCAGGAGGAGTCTCCAAGGGCGTTGAGCGGCGAGTAGCCGCCGTGTCGTCAGCAGCTGGGTCACCCCCCTCAGCTGGGCCAGAGGTGTCGGAAGAAACCTCTAACGGCGCAACCAAGGGGGGCAGGTCAACCTGGGAGACACCTGAAGGAGCAGGACCATGAGGGGGAAGGGGGGCTACCGGGGGGGGGTCGGGAACCAGGAAGAGGGGCGGGAGGGGTATCGGGGAACTGCGGTGGGGGTGAAGACGGTAGTAGAAGACAGACTCGTCAAAACTGACGTCGCGGGAGGACATCACACGACGAGAGCCCGGGTGGTAAAACTGCCAGGGCGGTGCGTCGGTGGAAAAGCCGAGGAACACGCAACGAAGAGTGGGCGGAGAGAGCTTGCCCGCGGGCAGATCGCGTACAAGAGAGGGGGAACCCCAGACCCAAAACGCCGACGCATCACCAACCTCGCCCGTCCACCGCAGAGTAGGGGACGTCTCCGGGTGGGAGACAAGGGGCCAGAGGTTGAGCTGCTCAGCAGCGTATCGGACCGCAAACGGCCACAGACAATGGGGAGCAGCCGCATGGACAAGGGAGGTGCGAGCAACCTCCATGACCAAGCCATTGCGGCGCTCGGCAATCCCATTCTGCTGCGGAGAGGTTGGAAGCGTGAACGACTGGGTGATGCCCTCAGCACCACCGAAGTCCTCGAGGAGGCGGGATGAAAACTCACCACCTCGGTCAGAGTGCAGTCGCAGGACCGGGAGGTCCTGCGGAACCGAGCGCTGAGCTGGCGATGGACAGCACGGATCCAGCGGATCAACACACTGCGGACATCTGCCTTGCTCTGCAAGGGGAAGACCGTGGTGTAGCGTGTGTAGTCGTCAACAACCAGCAAAAAGTAGCGCTCTCTGCCTTGTCCAGTGACGCTGGCTGGACCCCACACGTCCATGTGGAGGGTCTGCAGAGGAGTTGTGGTCGGAGGAAACGCGGAGGAGTGAGGAGCGGCGCGCTGCCGCCCCTCGACGCAGGGAAGGCACAGCGGCGCAAGTGACCTCGGGAGCGGGGGCAAGGACCTGGGGAGGCCAGAGACAAGGAGACGAGAGTGCATGCTGCGCAGACGCAGCTAGGAGGGGTGACCAAGACGGTGGTGCCAAAGCAGAGCCGGGTGCGTGAGGAGTCGACACGAACAGGACCCAGCTACCTCACGTGACGCAGCTACCCGACCTGACTCAGCTACCTGTGCAGACTCAGTGGTCAGTGTGTACAGGCCAGACCCAGGCCTCCGAGTGAACGTGGTGAGGTGCTCGCCAGTGCATGAGTCCGTACAGATCGCCACGAGCTCTCCCCCAGGATGGGTGACAGTAGCCAATTGGTCCTGGAGGACAGCGGTAGCCACCAAGTTCTTAGCGAACGAGGGGAGGTGGAGACCTGAGAGGGGACCGGAGGGGGCTGCCGGACACGGGAGAACAGTGGAGCCACGTGCAACGACTGGTCCACCAGAGGGGTCGTTTAGAGTGACAGGAATCGGGACTGTGAGCGGTGTGACTGTGGTGCAGTCGCGGAAGAAGCAGCGAGACGCGCCTGAGTCGAGAGTGAAAGAGTGCAAGGCCTCCTCAGGCTCTGCACCTGTGCTAGCTGAGTCAAAGGCACCAAGACTAGCAGCCTCTACACTACCAGCTCTAGGCACACACGCGTAAAAGTCACCCTCAACACTAGCATACATCGAATATATGCCAGCATGGATCACATCCCAGTCACAAGCAAACACATCGATGTCCTTCTTTAGCAATGCTAACAAGTCAGGAGTCGTCATCTACTCACCATGCTCCGCACGATACAGATCGTCGAGGCGAAAGAAGCAGCGAGGCTCCGTGTG